AGTAAATATATATATATATATATATATATATATATATGAGAATATATGGTTAATGACCGGAAAAAAAATTCTAACATCTCTCAGCTTATTATTTATTTATTCATGCAGAAGTTTAAATTTGTAAAAAAGTTAGAAGCTTAGAATAAACAATATTTGTAAAGAGCAGAATGGTTGGTGCTGAAAGAATTAGATGCTTTTGATAGGTTGGCCAATGGCCACTAAAGATATGGTTCCTGGTGTGCAACAAGCTAGAAGAGGAATTATTATGATTGATATTGATTAAATTATTCTAAGGAAGAAAGTAGTTTGGGGGAAATTGCAAAGTGTAGATTAAAATAATCATTGAGGAATAATTTAATTTTAGTTTATTTAACTAGGTCGATAGTGTTAGTTCGAGGAAGAAAGAGATAGACATTTTTACGGTGTATTTAGACAATGAATTTTATAATTTAAAGAATTTTAAAAAAATAAAGGTCAAGGTGCAACAAAGCATCATTGATGGGCAAAGATATCAATTAGGTTCACAGTCCAAAACCTACCAATCGTATGTCAAACACCAAGAATAACATAAATTAGATAAATTTAAAATACCAATCCAAAACATGAGGGGATTAGACCAAAACTCATGTCAAAATCATCAAAACCTAAAATTTGGCAAACCATTCCTATTACGGAAAAAAGAGTCCCTAACAAAAGTTGGCAAATCATCCCACCACACAAATTTCAAACAATTAAGTGGAGCAAATTTATCAATACATTGATTCCCTTTTCTAAAAATATGAGAGAGATAAATCCTACTTAGAGCACAAAAACGAGAGATAATGATTCCACTGCCTACAAATTCTCCAAGGCACCAAGGATGGATTATCATAGGCAGCCAAAATTAACTAAGAGTCATATTTCACCCAAAGTCTATTCCACCCGACTACCTTTGCATGTTCCACAACAATCATAACCACAACTAACTCAACACAAAAAGTGGTATCGATACTAATATAAGACACAAAACCTCCTAAAAAAACGCCGAGCTATCTTAAAAAAACCACTGCAAGCAAAATAACCTAGGGAGTCAAAAGCACCACCATCCGTATTACATTTAATAAATACTTGACCATGAGGATACCAATAAACCTGCTTAACAATAGTGGGCTTCGGAGGTCGAGTTTTAATGGCAAAACATTTCAATATTCTAACATCTTCCCATGAATGAGAATATGACCATTTGAGAGCAAACCAGATAAAGATGTAGCAGAAATAATCATCATCACAATTTGTTTAAAAGAATAAAACTTATTCTTAAGCCTGACACTATTTCTAATGAACCAAATAACCTAGAATATGTGTATAGTTGCAGCATAGATGACATCATGGACTTGATTGCTCCAAGCACCATCTAAGGATTGCAACACACTAATCGGAGAAACCAGAACCAACTATTTTTGCGTAATATTTTGAAACCATTCCCATAATGACATAGCTAAATGGCAACGAAGAAAAAGATGTTTTGAAGTCTCTATTGCCAGTTCACAAAGAATACATCGAGAGACCAAACTAACCCCCCATGTAATTGCATTTGATCATCTAACAGGATTTTGTATGTAGCAACCTCCATAAAACACACATCCTTGAGGAAGGGATAAACTTTGACCAAATAAATGATGGTCATGCAGCATGATGAGTCAAAGTTTGGAAAAACCACTTGGCCTCTTTGAAAGAGAGAAGACCATTGGTTGAAGGCTTTAAAATAGGTTCATCCACATCATTCCTAAAAGAGGGACCGACCTGTCCTAGCATTGTAGATAACTAATCTAAAATTCTTAGAACTTGAATTATTTTAATTTGAATTTTCATCATTCTTTAAATGTTTTATTTAGATAAATCAATTCAAATTTTTAAAATTTTAAATTCTTAATTTGGATAAGAGAATTTAATTTTCACATGGATAAAATTGATTTAAACATATATATATATATATATATATATATATATTGAAATTTTGAGATTTAATTTTATAAAACTAAATATTAGTCAATTTTTAAATGTTTAATTATTTCAACAAAAAATATAATTAGGTAATATTTAATAATTTAAAAAATAATTTTTAATATTTAATAATTAAAAAAACAATTGATTTTTTTATGTCAACTTTGAAAGAGAGAAGAGAGAGGTAGGAGAAAAAAAGAAAGAAGAATTTCAATTTCTTAATTTTTTGAGAGAATTTAAAATTCTATAATTTTAAAAAAATATCACAAATACTTGAATTTTAAATTCTTTGCTAATTCTCCATTCAAATAAAATATTTTGCCCAAAAGTATTTGAAACTCTTCAAAAAATTGAATTACTCCATTAAAATACACTTTGATTTTATTAGTATGTACTTGCTAGAAAATGGGTACTTGAAGTCAAAACATCCTCATTCTCTCCTTTGTCTAATCTAATAACCTCTCGGTTGAGTGAGGTACCTACAAAGACACTGTGACAGTCAAGTTATAGAGTTTTTGGTGTTGTAGGTAATTTGTGTAGGAATTAGATAAAAGTACCTTGTGATTGTGTTTAGCCTCATTTTATAGGTAATAATTATGTAACATTTCATTTAACTGATATAATGAAGGTTTATTATTAATCATTAATGATAAGATGAGTTATGTAAACATTACCATACACCTTCTTTATTACAAGTTGAATGGTTGTCAAAAAGATAGACTCTTTTGGACACATGTTGGCTTATTAAGTCCAAAAGGGAAAATCCAACCTCTCGTACAAAACATACTTTATTATAGTGAAGCTTTTGGCCATATCAAAAGGCATCTAAGACCATTTGGTACATAAGTGCCCAAGTCTTAAGTACTAAGAAAGGAGAAAAAAAACTATTGAAAAGGTGATAGAAAGCTTTTAGGTATGCCAAATAGGAGTGCTTTGAGATTAGTTGAATAACATGTTGCATTGGGGCTTTATTAAATGCATTGTCTTAGAGATTGTGTGCATGTAATTGTGATAGTATGAAGGGTGCCAATGTCACTTGGCATACCTTTTTTAGAAGATGAAAAGACACACCTCACTTAGTTGTTGTTTCTAGAGAGATCTAACAAGCATGATCATTTGTGATCTTTAGTCTTCTAGGCTTTAATTTGATCACTATTTTACTTAGGACCTTGGCAAAACACATCGCTTTCATGAATCCTCTCACTTTGTTGAGTACTAAGAGTGTTAAAACTTTCTTTGTTAAAGTTTTCCTCCTTTATTAGTCAAGTACATCCCAAAGAAGTTTGTCTAATATTCATAGAGAGATCCTTGGCCTCATCATCTTTTTCTTCTTCCATTACAACACTTTGAATGTTGTTATCATTTTGCTTTAGTTGAAACCTATCATCTCATGCTAGTTGAAGCCTCTTGACTCATGCCAACAACATTTCGCCTCCCAAGACTGATCTTCTTCTGGTAATAGTTGATAAGTTGGGAAATATAGTCAAGATGGACTTTTCGAACAACATGATTGGGTTAAGGATGAAATCCTCTCCAATTATTCTAAGTATACCACCAATGATATGGTTTGTACTTTCCTTGAGCCTAAAGGAATTGTTATTGTTGGGAAAGGCCACGACTTTAAGGCACAACAATGTGAAAGTGGGAAACTATGTGCCAAGAGGTTGATCACACATGGGCATGTTTTGTTATGTTTATGATTGTAACTACCTTATTCTTTTCTTGCAAACTTAGCATGTCTCTCTCTAATATTTTGTTTTCCTTCCAAAGTTTGTACTAAATGCCACTTATAATTAATTCAATCTCATTTTCACCATTACCAATAAGCCTTGTGATTTAAAATTCAAAATCATCAAAGAGATAACAATGTACTCCACCATTTCCTACACTAATGATTTATATTTGTCAAAAAAAAACTCATTTTCTCTATTCCAACTACCTTATTCTCTTTAGCACTCTAACAATCATGAGCCATTTTCCTCATTACTGAAAAACATAATTGATGAAAGTTCACTTTCATTGTTGCACTTTTTTTTCCAACCATAATAATGAATCACTTGATAGACCATTATTTCTTCCACCAATATAATCGAGTATATTATCCAATTAATTTAAATTTTCTAAAATTTCACAATGGGTTCTATTCTTGAGATTTTCACCAAAAATATTTCATATTCTAGCCTTTGAAACAATTTTGTTATTCATCCCCTTATATACAAATCCAATTGTGACTAGTAATTTTTTCATAACACTTTTCATTTCAACTATATCTAGGGGAATCCCACTACATTTATGTTGGGGTTTCAAGGGGTATGTTTTTGAAAAATAGTTTATGTCGAAACCCTTGAGCAAAAAGAACCTCATCTCACTAGACATTGCATTATGTAGGAACTAGTAAAAATTTAGAGATACATTGAAATGCATTAT